TCGCCTAGGCAGCGGTTCGCTCATAGTTTCAGCGTTAATGAGCACTTACGGGCTGTAAGACCGACCATCTTGCCGCGTTGCCCTCCCACGACACCTCGGGCAGCGTGTTCAGCGTCCCTCCCTACGACCACCCTCCCGCCGTCGTTGGTCAACTGCCCCACCAGCTTCTGCCACAAAGGCCGAATTCTCTTTCGGAGAGCGCCGTACGCCAGCGATCACCATTATGCTGTTTGCGGCCTTTTTGGCTCTTAATTGTACGCTTAGGATTTTCCGAAATTTCGGATCCGCAGAAACCGCGAAACACGCAAAATTCTTATGCTATGCAAAAAAGATCCTCTTCCCCCTGCCTCCCGTAATTGCGATCGCCGTCTGCTGAGCGACAAAATCTGAGTTGAAAATGGTCCGAGCCGTAATGAACGTCCTTCCTTAAACCACGATTCTGTTCCTATTATAACATCCGGCCTTGTGAACTCTCGATGTAAATTTGTCTAAAATCTTCGACTTATTGTTTTGATACTCTACAGTTCACCTGCCAATAGCTCTGAGAGTACAACCCGACCTAAGCATGTAAATTTTCACTCGACTGTCCAATCTTTGCTTTTGCCCGACGGTCCCGATACCACAGCGTTTTCTGCCGAACTGCTCCCTCCCACCGTTCTGTCCCTAGCCGTCCACCGACTTCCTCGCGGACATCTTCTGCACCGGCATTGCCATCTCGTCCCCACGGCGAAAACCTGTTCCCCGCCACCGTCTGTATCTGTTCCTCCGATCTGGGCCCGCAGCGGCCTTTTTTTTCCTCGCCGCACACGTTTCTGCACCGGCATTGCCCATCTCGTCCCACCGCAAACAACTTATTCCCCACTACCGTCTGTACCTGTTTCCTCCATCTGGGACCAAACGGATTTTTTTCCTCGCCCCCACGACACGTTCTGCCACCGGCATTGTCCATCTACGCTCCACAAGCGAACAACCTGTCACCCCGCCACCGTCTGCTACCCTGATGCCTCCATCTTGGGCTCGAGCGGGCTTTTTTTCCTTCGCGACCACGCTTCGGACCGGCATTCCCCATTCTCGTCCCAAGCCGAACAACCTGTTCCCCGCCACCGTCTTGCCTACCTGTTCCTCATCTGCGGCCCGAGCGGCTTTTTTTCCTCGCGACCACGCTCTGCACCGCATTGGCCATCTCGTCCCAAGGCGACAACCTGCTTCCCGCCACCGTTCGTGCTACCTGCTTCCTCCATCTGCGCCCCGCCCCGGCGCGGCTTTTTTTCTCGCCCGGAACACGTTACTGCACAGCCATTGCCCCCATCTCGACCCACCCCTCTGATCCGTCCCCTCATCCTCAGTCCACAACCACGGGCACCGCCCCCCATCCACGACGCCGTCCCCATCCACGCCAGCGATTGTCCCACGCCTGTCGTCTGGATGTTTGGCGGCCTCGCCCGCCACCTTCTTCCCCCGCGCAGCAGTCATGTTCAAGTCGCCATCTGCACTTGCAACGATGTCGCGTCCTACGTCTGTGACTGTTCGCATCTGCCGGTCCTACTCGCACTCCGTCTACCTCCGCGTACGACCTTCTGCACCGGCAACGTGGCTACTGACTACTTTAATGCTCTTCTGCCACCCACGGTCGCCCCCTCTGCCACCACGTCGGCTGCTCTCTTCTCCCGCGGTCGCCCTCTGCACCGCGTCGCTGCTCTCTGCAACCCGCGCTACCATATAATTTGCACAAGTCCTTGCCTTATTTACCCTGATGCCTTCCACTAATATCAGTGGCAGAAAAACTGCTGCCATTGTAAATTCCGAATATTAATAATTCTAACATCTTTTGAATTTTTGACTTTTACTCTCATCGCCCTTAAATTTGTAAGAAGAGAAAGGGATTGTTTGTAAACTTTGCGCCGGAAAACGACAAATTTTTGACATAAAATTTTCTATTGGTGCGGCCCTGGTAACGAAAAAGTGGATAAATTGTGTTTACTACATGTTATAAATTACGTTCCTCTAAACACGCTTATGTAATAAAATCACGTTTTCTTTCTCTTTGATATCGATTGCATGCTAAAAACATATATTCTTCCTGTCCGTGTTCAAATGAAGCGCCGATAAACCGTTCAGACTATTTTCGTCCCGAAATGGAATATTTTCCTATCGATTTAAATAGCGAACTCGGGCTCTTCAGTCTGAACGGATATATGATTTTGGCACGCTACTTTACATGAAAATCTGAAACATTTTCAAAATTTTGCAGTTCTTAATAAACCTCAGTTCTCCAAAATTTTGTATTTGGTCAAAACACCTGTGCGTCTCAATGAAGCTTAT